CGGGCAAATTTAAACAGTGGGAGCAGAACATGCGCCTCCTCCTAACAGGGCCTCTTGCAGAGAAAACGGACCAACAGAAAATGTCCTACCTGCTTATCAACATTGGACAGGAAGGGAGAAACACTTTTAATACCTGGGAAATTCCAGAAGAAGAACAGACAGTGAAGGACCTTTTTACACGATTTCGGACCCACTGCATCCCCAAAGAGAGAATAACGACACTCAGATACAGGTTCAATTCTAGAGTGCAAAAGGAGGGAGAGTCCATGGACCAATTTGTCACAGCCCTCAAACTCCTGGCAGAGGGTTGCGAGTTAGACAAACTCCAGAGCTCTCTGATCAGAGATCGAATTATTTTCGGAACAAATGACCATTCAATCAAGGAACGACTCCTCCAGGAAGATGACCCTACTCTAGAAGACACTCTAAAAAATCGCTCGTTCTTTGGAAACATCCAATCATGAACTAAACTCGATGTCAAGCCAACCTCAAGTGAATGTCCACAAACTCATGAAAAAAGCACCTTCCAGTAGTTCCAGGCCCAGATTTTCCCAACAGAATCACAGATCAAAACCCGAACAATTTCATGTCCAACCAAACACTCCTACATCAAGCAATATCAGAAAACCACAAAAATGCTGTCCAAATTGCGGCAACTCCCCTCACCCTTTTTCGCAGTGTCCAGCAAGACACCAGACATGCAGCTACTGCAAAAAGCCGCACCATTTCAAAAAGATGTGCAGAAAACTCGAGTACAATAACCAGAAGACCCACAAAATTGAGATAGGGAATGAGGAGGAAGAAGAAGATTATCAAGTACATACATTTGAGACACTCAAAATGAACTTAATGAAAACAGAGGACGAAGCCTTCGCAACCTTAGGCATCCAACTTCCATGTCATAACTCAAGGAATACAAAACATAAACTCAAAGTCAAGATCGACACTGGATCCCAAGGGAATGCATTGCCCTTGAGACTATACAAGGAAATGTTCCCCCAGAAATTCGACAGCCGTGGACAACCAACAGAACTAGGCCGATCCAAAACCAAAATAACCGCGTATGGAGGAAGTCAAGTTAAACAATATGGCACCTGCAAAATCAAGTGCTCCTACAAGGAGAAGGAAGAAAACGCCACATTCTATGTGACGGAGGACAAAGGACCAGCTATCCTAGGACTGCCCACCTTAAGAGAACTAGGACTGGTCAGCATAAATCTAGAAATGAAGTTGCAAGACAGATCAAAGAATGCTTCAAAGGCTCGATCTAGCCTCAAAAGCAACCCTCACAAAACTCCAGAAAGTCCAAAAGCCTCCCTGATGACCCAATACCCTGACACTTTCAACGGAATTGGGAAGTTTCAAGGAAAATACCACATTCATATAGACCCACAGTCCCAGAGGTCATCCATCCACAAAGGAAAATACCCCTCAAACTCGAGGACAAAATCAAGACAGAACTGGATGAGATGGAAACAATGGGAATCATCAAGAGAATCAAGGTGGGAGAACCCACAGCTTGGGTGAACAGCTTGGTATACAGAGAGAAACCATCGGGACGGCTACGTCTTTGCCTGGACCCCAAAGACCTCAACAAAGCAATACTGAGGGAGCATCACATCACACCAACTCTGGAAGAAATTTTGCCACACCTCTCCGGAGCAAAGTACTTCTCCATACTTGATGCAAAATGTGGATACTGGAACGTTGAGCTTGATGACGATTCAAGTTATCTGACCACATTCAATTCTCCATTTGGCTGATACCGATTTCTAAGAATGCCCTTTGGACTTCGAATGAGCCAAGACGTCTTCCAAGCGAAAATTGACAAGACATTTGAAGGCTGCAAAGGTGTGATTGGCATCGCAGATGATGTGGTGTTTGGGGAAACTGCAGAAGAACATGACGCTAACCTACAGAACATGATACTTCGGTGTCAGGAAACAGGACTTAAGCTGAACCCAGACAAATGCAGAATCAAGGAAAACCACATCAAGTTCTACGGCATAATCTGCACAGGCGAAGGGATCAAGCCTGACCCAGCAAAGGTTGAAGCCATCAAAGCTATGAAAGCTCCAGAAAATGAGAAAGAGCTAGTTCTTCCTGGGTCTAGCGACATACATGGGCCCTTCATCCAAAACATCAGCCAGCTCTCAACACCACTGAGAGAACTCCTGTCCAAGTAAAACAAGTTCGAGTAGACAATAAACCACCAAAATGCATTCCAGAAAGTCAAGGACTCAATTACAAGTGAGGTCACGCTCGCCTACTTCAATCCGGAAAAGCCAATCACATTGCAAGTAGATGCATCCATGAAAGCACTTGGTGCTACACTCCTGCAAGATGATAAACCAGTAGCATTTGCCAGCAAAACCCTCACAGATGAAGAAACGCGATACGCCAATATCGAACGTGAACTTCTCGCTGTGGTATACAGGTGTGAACGGTTCCACACATAGCCTACCTGTACGCACAGACGTTCCAAGTTGAATCTGACCACGCCCTCTCCAGTCGATCCAGCTAAAGCATCTCAAGGCAGCACCCCCCAGACTCCAGAGAATGCTTCTAAGACTGCAACCATATGATTTCCAAATTATCTACAAACCAGGAAAATAGATGCTTATCGCTGACGCCCTGTCCAGACTCCCAGGAAATGAGAAGGAACCAATAGAGGGCCTGAATGTCAAGATCCACGCGGTAGCGACACAGTTCATTGGAAACTATCTACAACGCATAAAAGACGCTACCGCAACAGACACTGAACTGATGGCCCTAAAAGACTTAGTCTACTTTGGCTGGCCAGAGACACAACAAGATGTACCTAATCAATGCAAAGCCTACTGGAACTATTGGGATGAAATATCCATTGACGATGGAATTCTCATCAAGGAATCAAGGATAATCATCCCCAAATCTATGAAAGAAGAGGTTATGAAGAAACTCCATGAACCACATCTTGGTACAGAGAAAACAAAGCTCCGCGCCAGAGAGACAGTTTTTTGGCCAAATATCAACAAAGAAATAGACCAAACAGTCTCAGAATGCCAAGTGTGCCAAAAACACCAGGCAAGTCAACGAAAAGAACCCCTCATCCAATCAGAGATACCACCAAGACCATGGCACACCATAGGCACTGATCTATTCTACCTGAATATTCTGGCTATGAATACCTTCTCATCAGCAACTACTATTCGAAGTTTCCAATTGTCCGCAAATTGCCAAAAGACACCAGCAACAGCGCAACAAGAGTTATCACCTTCTAGAAACAAGCTTTCAGTGAGCATGGAATCCCAGAAATTGTGCGATCTGACAATGGACCACATTTCAGTAGAACTGCCTTCAGAGAATTTGCAACAGCTTATGGATTCCAGCACAAAACAAGTTCACACCATTATCCAAAGAGTAACGGTTTCATCTAGAGCCAAGTGAAACTCGTGAAACGTACCTTAAAAAAGGCATTTGAAACATCCCAAGACCCATACCTGAGTCTTCTTGCTCTGAGAATAACACCAATCAACAACAGCTTACCTTCTCCCGGACAAATGCTCTTCAACAGACAACTGCGAGACACAATGCCAAGAAAGATAAATCATGCTGCAAACAATGAACAAATTGAGAAAGGACTAGAGAAAAGGCAGGAAACACAAAGGTACTACTATGACCAACACACAAAGATATTGCCGCCTTTATCAAGAAATGAACATGTGACAGTACAAAATGCAAAAACAAAAAATTGGGAACCTGCAATCGCCACCGAAAAAGTCTCATCACCGAGATCGTATGTCATAAATCAGCACGACACACGAGACATACGCAGGAACAGAAGCCAAATCCGTTCTGTTTCTTCCCCCAGACAAGTTCAACATGAACCACCAGCTGACCCACCTGCACAACCCCCGGTGACAGAACAAGCAGCACCTTTAAAGTCACACACAACCTGCACCTTAACTGTCACCACCTGCATCCAGAAGAAGCGGAAGAAAGATCAACACTCCACAACGCCCCGATCTTTAAAAACCTCAAATTCATACTCGTCGGAACCCTCCACGTCTTTTAATTTTTTTTCATTAAATGGAAGAAGAATGGTCAAAAGGATTAGCCTGATGCCATTTCTATGCAAACATGTAGATGTGTAGTTCGCAAACACCTACATAAACAAGTGAAATCATACTACCCATGCAAACAGCAGGTACAGATCAAAAGAAATGGAAGAGGAAAGAGATTTTCAATTCACACAAATAAACAGCACACTAGGAAGTGAATATGTCCATTTCTTTTTTTCAGCTTCAAGAGACTACCTGGTCCTGATGTGCATGACTATGAAGTCCTCGTCACATGAACATGAAGAAGTGTGAAAACCTATCCCATGACAATTAGAACTCTATTGGACACTATCTCCATAGAACTCAATACACAGACATTTTGACATTAATTTATTAGACATGTGCCATGGAGGCTAATTATCTCATCCCCAAATCAGTAGCAAAACATTGCATTTTATATAGATCTACCCTTAGGAGAACTTCAACCCTTACGTTATATACACCGCTATAGATTATATAATTTATTTTTTTACAGAAAAAGGGAGGCCTGGTTTCCATTGTAAAATTAGGGAGAAAGTGGGCGCTAAAGTTTGGTAACTCAAATGCCTAAAAGGTCCTTGAAAACTGAAAAATGGTGTAGTTTGTGTCTTTAACTCAACGTTTTTCAGTAAAATTTAAATGGAAATGTGTTTTTACATAGACTTAAAAAAAGAAATTCTACAAAATTAGCCAAACTGTAAGACAAATGCCTGTTTCTCCAAGTTCATTATTTTGACGAGCGCCTGATATCACCAGGATGCCTCATATATTTTTCTTTCAGGTAAGTTTATCCCCCTCTAGACAAACAAACAGGTCACTCTCAAGACACACCCTAAATGGCAACTACAGGAGATTCTAATTTTAGCAGCACCTGAGACTGGAACAAAATAGATGTGAAGAGAAGAGATGCCCCCCCCCCCCCCCGCCCCCCTCAAACTCAAATACACACAAGAGAGGTTGGAGCCACCTCACCTATAGAGGAGCAGCACCTACAGTTAGTAGCAGAGTGAACCACTTTGAGGCCTGGAACAGTGGGATCCCACAAAGTTGTCAACAAACACCAAACTCTCAACCCTATTATTATAAGGATTATCATTCATTGATCTATGATGAGCAACTTACAAAAAGATTAGCTGCCCATTGAGGGGGTTTACTGGCAAACCCAAGTACCTCTGCATCATCTTGCTTTGAGAATGGCTTCTCCAATACTTTCTGCAAGCGGTGAACAAAAGCAAAATCATTTTTTTCCACAGCTGAAATTGCTCTTTGAGCTATCCAGTTTCTGAGAACATAACGGGGATTATTTTTATTCATTAGTTTTTGTCTTTCATGATCAGTAATGTCCTCTGATTTGAGTCTTATATTATAGAGGTTTATAAAATGTTGAAACCATTCGTGCTGTGATATCACACGCAATGCCCAAAAGCTTTTACTTATTTCACCCTTCGTGAGATTCATGAAAGAAATTTCCCCCAACTCTCGGAAACTCATTGTAAAATCAGCTCCAGTATCCTCAAGTATCTTTAAAAATGTGGCTATTAGATTTTCATCTTCATGTCTTTTCACAGTGTTGAAGCCAAATTTTTTTGCAAAAACTTTTAAAAAGAAACTTTTATATAGCTCAACGTACCCTTTCAAAATAATACTTGCAGATTTTATTTGTTGATTCCGTAAAACTGGTTCTAATGCTCTGAGCAATTTTTCCATGTTAAAAAACCCAACATCGGGTTGATTCTCAAAACTGTATCTTTTTTCATCATCTGAAAAATTAGGAACAAACTTGGGATCGTAGGCATCCATAAATCCAAAAGGACCATAGTCAATTGTAATTGACAAAAGGCTGAAGTTGTCAGTGTTACAAACTCCATGTGCAAACCCAATACCTTGCCACTGAGCAATGAGATGTGCAGTACTGCTAACTATTTCTTGAAACAGCATCAGATATTTATCTTGACTATTGATATCGATATTCACAAAGAAAGATTTAATCACATTATCGAGCAATAACCTCAATAATTCTGTTTCTCCAGTATAAGAAAGAATTTCCAGTGATCCAATGCGAAACCAAGAGGGAGCAAGCCTCAGTACTATGGCTGTTCTCTCTGGTAGGGGATGGCCATCATAAAACTGATCTCTGACAACTTCATCATCACTGACAATTAGAGCGGCAGCTCTTGAAGTAGGGACACCTGCATTAGACAAAAAAGCACAAAGCATTAAACATCTTTCTAAAAAGTAAATGGTTGTATGTATTTTTTATAATTTTTTTTGTAAGTGTTTTAAGACACTCGCAACTGCATAAGGTCCAATGAGAGCGCGGAACACATTAAACATTTTCAGTTGGTAGGATATTTTGAATTTCACCCGGGTGGTGACCAAAGCCTATTCTTATCTTTAGACCACCAAGGGATCTTTAACGTGCACAACTTGCACATGGGACCTCTGAGATTTTTGCCCTTGTCCAAGAAGGCTAGGTGAAGATCTTTCCTACCACAAGATCAGGGGTCTGGCTGAAAGACAGAAGTAAGAAGAAGCCAAGTAGAAGAAGTAGAAAGGCTGCAGAAAGAGTCAAGAGCCCAGAGCAGGGGGCAAAGAAGGTGAGAGGGTGGGGGCAGAAAGTGAAGACGAAAGCAGACGACAGAACATTGCTACAGAGCAGGAAAGGAGGTGAAAGGAGACACCCGGATTCAAACCTGGGACCTTTGAATGAGAGGCCAACACCTTAACCTCTAGGCCACGAGAGCCCCCCGGCTATGAATAGATGCAAAAATAGAAAATGGTGAGAAATAAAAAAGTATCAAGTATTGTGGGGAAAAAATATGAGCACAGGAATCTATCTGCATTTTGTTATATTATACACACATATTAACCAGGATTTTTATCCTAAATTGACCTGCCTTCTCCCCTCCAAGAAGGAGCCAATAGAGAGCCTCTGACTAGTCTGACAGGTTCCACAATCCTATTTTATAATTAAAAAGTAGTCATTTATTGTCTTTCAGTCAACCACATTCTATTCTCTGATAATCCGAATTTTCCAGACTATTTTATCTTCAGTTACAGAAAGGATAATTTTCTTTAGAACCTTTTCAACTAAGGCATGTTCGTTATTCTTTAACTTTAATACCATATATATAGCATAAGGTCTCTTCAACACACACAATATATGCATTATATAAGGGGACTCACAGTATTACTTCATTATTGACAAAGTGAGACATTAGACCTTTTTCATTTCTGTACACATCCAAGGATAACAAAAAAAAGTAAATCTTTAAAAAGGAATTTATAATAGTAATCATCGAATTATTCCTGTCTGAAGCTAGAATTAAACCAAAGCTCATTTTTAATTACATGTATCTAAAACCTTCAGCAAAGAAAACAAGACTGCGATTGAATATCTGCAATGGCGTGCATTCTCTTATATCCCATCATACTCAACAGCAGTTAATTTTGAAGCAGTGGAAGCTACATATTATTAACATGTTGACAACTTCGACGAATCAGTGGTGGCTATAACTACTGTACATTAATTTAAACATGTTAAATAGTTTTATATGTAAACAATCATTCAAAAATGAAAACAGTAGATTGGCAGAAAAAAAAAATATAGAAAGGCTTTTCGAGAGATTTAACGATTTTTTACATTTCTTTTTTCCATTTAATTTAATCCTAAAGTAGCATTACACAGACCCTACCAACTAGTCCTTGGAGTCGTGTTGCATGGCGTTTTGATTGACAACACCCGACATTGCCTGGAACTGTAAAAGTTTCCTTTTACTTCTATGGATCAAATGAATATAGTACAGAGGAGAAAAAAAAGGACAGTCAAGGTAATGAATGTGATGACAATATTCAATTGAAGGCATGAGCACATAAAGATGAGTACTTAAACCTCTCCAGCATGCACTGTCATTTTTATTATTTATAAAACACATCAGTATTTTCACTTCAGATAGTACCTCTGTTGGTGAATACACTCACTCCTCGCAAAAATAGAAGATGGCAAGGGAGGCAATTGTGTAGAGATTTTAAAGCAAAATACTCAGACAACTGAGTAACCATAAAAATGAGCCTGCTCACTGCCATAGTTTCTCTGAGAGAGGAAGCTGAGGCACCTGCTGAAGAAGAAGAATATTACAATTCAATACACAGTCAAACCTGCCATGATGGCCACCTGTACAAACGGCCAAGTTCCATTTCCCCCCTTACATTTTTTCTATATAATTTAACAGTGTAAAACGAGCACCTGTCCAACGCGGCTGCAGCCACCCCATTTTATCAACCCATGACCAAATTCACCTGCCAGAGACGGCCAGGCTTTGCAAAAAAAATGATGCATCTTCCCCTGATGCTGTAGACAAGCCGTCATCATAATCCATTCATCTGGTCATGTTGCTTAGGTCGCTCCCAATGTTTACCAAAGTTGACCAATGGGTAAATATACATTTTTAACTGCTGATAAGGGAAGCATGTGATCTGTCATAACCTATTAAGCTTCGCCCACAACTCAGTTTATAAACCCAGTCCATAACAATGGAAGTCAACACAAACTCACGACAGAAAAGTCTAATTGTTCCCTGAGTGGTGACCACCCTCATTGTTTGTTCTACTTGCTATGGCACTTGGCCTTCCTCATCTGGCACATTTTGTTTTGTTTGATTGACCTTTCACGAAACCATAATTTCTAAAATAATAAATAAAAATGAAACCAACAATGTAAAAGGTCCAACAAAAACTGTCCTATCCTGTCCCCGCTTTCAAAACACAAAAAAAAGAAAAAAACAAATACAAAACATTTTAACAAGCCCTACACCAGTCCTGAGCTGGCAGCCACCTCCAGTTGGGATCTCAAAGTAAATGGTGGTTTGTTTACTAAACATTTTGATAGACCTGCGTACCAGTCTTATACGTCCACTTTTCTCCTCTACAGTGTGTGGCCATCTTAGACAGGTTCGACAGTATATATATGTGTGTAAATATATATCTCACTTCAACTTTTCATTACAGCTTTTTAAGTAGATATAAAAATTTTGCTAAAAATGTAAGAATATATATAGATCTAGATCTATATCTAAACAGTACTAAACATGTATATATAATTTACCTAAGTAATGCATGGCTTCAGAAGCCAGGAACTCCCTCACTGAGGACCTCAGAACTGCTCTACCATCCCCAGCGCGGGAATAAGGAGTCTTGCCAGATCCTTTCAATTGGAGTTCCCATCTTTCTCCTTTTCTGTTTTGATAATCGCCCAAGAGAATGGCACGTCCATCTCCAAGCTGACCAGCCCAATGACCAAATTGGTGACCACCATAACGATGAGCAAGAGAAGGTGGAAATAAACCGCTCCTGTTGTTGCCATTCATAAAGTCAATGAATAGATCAGTAACAGTCACTGTTGGATGTAAGTCAAGGCAGTCTGTCAAGACAGCTTTAGACGCGCAACAAAGTTTCACATTTGACTTCAGCCCAGTGGGGTTCACATGTGAAAACAAAGCATTCCTGACAGTCCGCACAAAATTTCCTTTAACTTTGTCTACTGGGAAAGTATCTTTTAAAGATTGACGGAAACAAGTAAGCCATTCCTGAAACGAACTGTACAGTATCTCGGGATTTCGAAGGCAATCATAATGGGGTGATATTGGTGTGGCAAAACCTACTTTCGCTTTCGTTTCTTCTGCTGAACAAATACCTCGCCTTTGCTCAAGCCAGCAGGGTACATTGCGACGGTCATCACCAACAATTTCCAAAACAAAACGTCCAAATCGTTCAGTTTCGGGTTCTCTCCAGCAAAAGTCATCACAAACAACCTTTAAAACAGGTCCAAATAAAAACAAAGTGCGGAAAAGCCAGAAGACCCCTTTCATGTCGTGGCATCCTAGCTGGCCTACCATAGCCAAGAAAATCAAAATAAACAGGGTACCGGACGGAAGTTAATTTCTTTCGTGTTTTTTCCGTTTCGTCAGTTAACAGTTCTTCTCAATTTTAAGAGGTAATAAACTGCTTTACCTAAAACTCCAGGTGCCACTGAGTGTGATATGCATAGAACAATTAGCCGTATGAGTCATTTTACAAAAATATTGCTGCGAGTAATAATGGGAAGATTGAGAAAAAGTGTAAGACCAGAGATATCTAAAACGCAATTCGGCTTTGTTCCTGACAAGGGCACCAGAAATGCTATATTCACCTTAACAATGTTAATGGAAAGATGTATTGAAGCACAGAAAGATCTGTATTTATGCTTCATAGATTATTCAAAGGCGTTTGATAAAGTTAGACATGATGAGCTATTTAAAATACTGGAAAAGCTAGACATATATGGAAAAGATCTAAGAATTATCAGAAATTTGTACTGGGACCAAAACGCTGCTGTACGAATTAATGGAGAATACAGTGAATAAGCAGATCAGGCGAGGAGTGAGGTAAGGATGTGTTATGTCCAGTGAAACAATCCTTAGAAACATAGAAGAATGTTCAGGCCTCAAAGTAAATGGAGAAAATATTAATAACGTCAGGTATGCAGATGACACAGTTTTAATAGCAGGCTCCGAAAAGGACCTTTAATTGCTTCTAGGTGCTGTTGTAACAGAAAGTGAACATAGGATTATTGTTGAATGTAAAGAAAACAGAACGCATGGTAATATCCAAAAAAGCAGCAAACCCTAGTTGTAATCTCATTAGCAAAGGTGAAAAGATCAAACAAGTCCAACAGTTTAAATATCTAGGATATATGAAAACATCTGACGCCAAATGTTCCACAGAAATAAAGAGGAGAACTGCAATGGCTAAGGCTAGTTTCAATAAAATGAGCCCAATCCTGAAAAAAAAAAAAAACTTCTCAATGAACACCAAAATGAAAGTCCTGAAATGCTATGTTTGGTCAACCCTTTTATATGGCTGTGAATGCTGGACAATCTCTAAAGACAGTGAAAATAAAATAGAAGCAACAGATAATGTGGTTTCTTATGAGACTGCTAAGAGTATCATGGAAGGAAAGGAAATCAAATGAGGTAGTGCTTGAAGAAGCCCACGTGGGACGCTCAATGTTAAAAAGAATCAAGAAACGACAAATGCAATTTTTGGGACACCTGAATAGACATAAGGGTCTTGAACATCTAGCTTTCACTGGAAAAATTGAGGGGTAGACCCAGAACAACATACTTAGGGAACCTAAGCAAATGGGTAACAGGGAAAGATCAGGAAAACGTAGCTTTTTTTAGAGTATCCGAGCAAAGGAATGAATGGAAAACCATGATCGCCGATATCTGTCGCAGATCTGGCACTGGATAATGATGAATAAACTGATTAGCGTTCTTGAATTCACCATAATTATTATAATGTCTGACATGGTCCCTGTAACCGCAAATAATCTCTCTGTCCGTCTATCTACCTCTCAATGTATTTGTCTCGTTGACTTTCCTTTGCCTGTCTTGTACCGGTGGGCTCCTCTCTCTCTCTCTCTCTCTCTCTCTCTCTCTCTCTCTCTCTCTCTCTCTC